ATTTGTTGATTTGTTTTTTCCTTTAAATCCCTATAAAACAATCCCCCAGGTATCTAGAAAGTACCCTTGGGCAGCTGGCTTGGGGAAAATCCAATCTTCACCAAAGTTGGAGAGATTGTAGAGGGGAGGTGGAGGAAGCATCTCTGCAATTTTGGTGTCTCTAGGTGCCTGAGGTGCTATTTTATAGCCCAATAAATCAATGAATAAAAATAAAAAAAATGAAAGGAAGCATCTCTGCAATTTTGGTGTCTCTAGGTGCCTGAGGTGCTATTTTATAGCCCAATAAATCAATGAATAAAAATAAAAAATAAAAAAAATAATCAATACATATTTGTCTGGGGTAGCGATTCATACAAACACAAATTGACGATTAAGCAATTTAGATGAATTTTGCAATTAGTTTTTAAACTCATGCCCATCTCTATTTGCATAACTCAACCAAATCCAAATATTTGGCATTACCTTCACCTTCACATGACTTCAGTGGAACTGAATCATTCTTTCATCCACCTTGTTAGGATTCCCCAGAATGAAGGGTTAAAAATTGTAATAAAAATTCTGGACCACATCCAGCATTACATAAAGATATTTTCATCAACACAGAGACTTCTGCTCCTGTGTTGCTTCTTCAAAACTTCGGAACAAAGTTGGAGATGTTTGGATGGCTGTATGTAGGGGGAACTGAGAATCTGTTATGGTAATGCCATCTAACCTGCTGGTGGGCTAACACAATTAGATATTGCTTTTCTTGCCTTTGTCTTTACACAGTGCCCATTCAAAACAAGGTAAATCTGGAAATAAACATGTTTTATATGGAGGTAAAATAAATGCACTCCTTTCCCCACTCCCTGTCCTGGCACCTCCAAATGGAAAATAATGACAGAATCAGTTGAGGAGCCCAGATGTCCAAGGCAATGACTCCCTGGATTACTTTGAAGCATGAGATTGGAAGGAAAAGGAATGTTTGAAGGAAAAGCAGTACTTCTGACAAAAGCTTTTCCAGGTGTAGCAAACTGATTTTATCTATGATAAGAAAGGAGATCCTGTGGATGACTTTTGCTAAGTAGGTTCATATTAATATTAAACAGCATTGGAGATGATCTTCTACTGCTGGATACCTCAATGGTTTAGGTATCTGGCCCCAGAGCTAGAGGTTGGGTGTTCGATTCCCCACAGTGCCTCCTTGACAGGAGATGGACTCAATGATCCATAGGATCCCATCCAGCTCTGCAGTTCTAAGATTCTAAGATGTATAAATAGATCAGTTACTTCATTAGTATATCAGTCAGATTACTGACTACAGTAGGACCCCCGTATTTGCGGGGGATCGGTTCCAAGGCTTGACATTCAGTTCCCAGTACTGGAGAACAGAGTGAACACAATGTACATGTAGCTGATAAGTAAATATGTTGATAAGTAATAGATTGAGACTTGAAAGACTTCCTCCAAACACATTATGCTTTTCATAATGTTCTCAAGGCTGGGAACAGAGAATGGCCATTGTACTGTTTTATATTATCAGGAAGAGAAAATGAAAAATGAAAGCTTGCCACTCTTGACATGTGAACCATGGTTGCAGAAACAGAAGAGGGGGGGCTAGAGTGCACTCCTCTGTCTGTGGACAATTCACACAGGTAGAGAATACCTGAGTAGGACTAAGCATTTCAAAACTGTATCAGTAGTAAAATGCCAAGTCTGTGATCTGAATGCACATAAAAGAAATGAGCTGAACAGGTGGACTGAATACAAAAAATCATCTACCTCCTTTCACGTTCCTCAATCTTGTCCCTTCTACTTAACAGTGGCAGGCAGTGGTTGTGTTCCTTTTGTTGGTTAGAAGGTTATGTCAACCATTTCCTCCTTTCAAATGCTGCTACAAAGGACAGTCTATGATGAAATACTCTATCATGAAATGACTCAAGGGATGGCTGAAGTCTGAAAGAGAATGTTTCCAACCTTGATTCCTTTCAAGGTTTCAGTTAAATTCAGGAAGGTATTTAGGAAGGTATTTCAACTAAATATTCAAAGCAAAGTGAAAGAAGGAAGGCAAAACAACTGGGACCCTCAAATTTGGGAGAAATCATGCAGAGTGTGAGACAGTTGCCTCAGAAGCAACCGCCGAAGGGCACAGAGATGTATTGTTTTGTGTGGAAGTAATATTCACCTGGCTGTCCAGCATCTGTATGTGGAGTGGGTGTCTGGGGAGTCTTATCATTCACTTCCTACATCAAAATGGCATGGCCCAACCTTGAACCAGACAGAGAGCTTTCTATTTGTGCTGGGGGTGGGGTTCCTAGTTTTCTCTTTTCTCTTTTAATAGCCTTCCTTCCTTCCTTCCTTCCTTCCTTCCTTCAATGCTGCCAGCTAGTAGCATTCACAGTGGGGACTTTCTACCACTCTCTCTTTCCAGAATGTTTTCAGTTTCGGGGAAAGAAAGTATGAACAATAGCTAAGACTGTGTTACCTTCAAAGAGGCCAGAATTGTCTTTAACCTGTATGGCTACATTACCAACTAGGGTAGACTCAGTTAAATTGTCATCTTTTTTGAAAGTCAGATGTTGCTCTCTGTTCCAGGTAAGGTGTTTTTTTTTAAAGCAGTAGATGTTCCTTGGAAGACATGTGTGCCGAATGTTCCCTGTTCAAACAATACAGTTAACACCGAGGGTGCACTGCTAAAAGCTCTTAGATTTTTGAAAAGATTTTTAAAAAGAGGGAAAGGGTGTAGAAAGTTTCCATCTCTTGCAATCCTTTGCCATTCAGCCATTTCATGACTCAGATTTTGGAAGTGATGGAGAATTGAGGCTGCCTCTTTTGCCCCACCTCTCTCTAAAGGGCAATCTGAGCAGAATGCTGGTGGCATTGATAGCTACAATTTCCTATAAAGGAGCTGCCCTTGTTGCGCATATGAGATTGTGAGTGTCACAGCTTTGAGAATTTACTGTTTTCTGCACCTAATTCTAATTGGTAATCCAAGTAAAGTAGACCCATTGGATTAAATGTTTTTTTTTTAAAAAAAAATTGATTTTCCACTCAATGAGTCTATTACATGGGACTGGTCACTAGATTTTGGCCTTAGACTACAGCTTCCACTGTTGTGGGAGGTGTGATCCAAAAATAACTTTTACATGTTCTAATGTGCATCTGAGAAAAAACTGGCGGCTCCAAGGGGGAAATGCTACATTGTGTCTCCCTCTCATTTGACCCACCCTAAAGAATGATCTAAATGGCTCCCTCATGTCAGCCCAGTACTAGATCAGTTTTTCTTCCAGAGGTTCACTTGGGGTGGCTCAAAATCTCTCCCCACCTGTGAAGGGGAAAGGAGGGCTGCCCCTCCCCACTGAAAGACTTCCCCAACCTTCCTCAAACACTGGCTCAGTGGAGGCCGGCAGATGAAGGTAGCACTGGCAGCAGTTGCTCCAGCTTGGGCACTGGCATTCCCTGCACTTCCAAGAGATGAACAGCTGGGGCTGGCAGATGTGCCTGCTATCTGAGCTGCCCTCCACCAGAGCTTTTGGCCCCACAAGGAGGAGGGGGGTTCAAAAAAGACAAAGATGGTGGTGGGATACACCTCTGAAGAGCAGGCAAAGCAGCGATAGAAACAGAAATGCCCTTGCTAGTGAATGGTAAGTCAGCACCAGGGAAGATCCTTGACGCGAAGGCATTTTGAGGGGAGCGACCAAAAATGTTACCCCTTCCACAATGCCTAAGCTTCAAGACTCCAGTCACAGCAAGGCTTAACACCCCCCCCCCAAAAAAAACCAACAACAACAGGTGGCCAAAAAGTGACCTCACTTACTTGAGATATGTCATAGAGGGCCAAAGACCCTCCTGGGTCAAATGCTGTTCTACCTGTTCTTCAACAGCAGATATTACCACCGTTTATAGTTTTTTCAAAATGACTCCTCACCTCATCCTGCTCATTGCACTGCTAAAAGGTGCTGTGACGGGCAGCCCTGGCAAAGGGGAATGGGGGGTGGTTCTGCTGTGGCCCCAAGCTTTCCACTGCCTGAGGTGACTGCCTCACCAAGGCTAATGGCAGGGCCAGCTGTGGATTTAGTACTCTGTCAGTAACACACCTGGTAGTCCACACATTAAAATCTTCTGCATGGCTTATCATAGTGGTAGCACTTTAACTATCATTGGTCCATTCTAACAAATGTGGGAGTTGTGGTTTGATGATGTACCTTGAACGTTCCACCAGGGAGTTCTAGCGTATTCCCCCGGCACAAATCCCAGGCTTCCTTAGGCTGGAGTCATGACTGTTCATGACGGCGGTGTGAAACTGCTATAAACTCTCTAGTGCAGATATATGTTTGGTCTTTAACTAGGTGTAGCATTATCACCACAAGTTTTTTTTTCAAAGAGCAATAAAGCGTAAATGACTATGAGCAACCTAAAACAGGCATCAGATTGAAAATAAATTTATTTGTCCAGTTCATTTTCGTTTTTACAGCCAACAAGAAGCATTGACAAAAGACATGCAACTCGACAGGAAATGACTAACATTATGTTAATATTTAAAAGTTTCTTCTATATATTTCCCATTAAAGAAATAAAAATAAGTCAATAGGAATGTTGAGCTTGGCTCTCCAATTAGCATGTATCATTATAATCAATTCAGAATCTGAAGCTATTGCACAATTAAAGGGTAGCCTACTGAACCATATTTCAAATTAATTTATGAAAAAAGAACACATACAGTACTCTGTGAAAGTTAAGATGAAGTTACAGTTTGTAATAGTGAAAAGTGGAAAACCCTAAATCTAAATATCTACTTTCAGAACATTTGAAATGTGTTTATAGTAAAATAATTTTACAAATTTTATACTTTTTTATTAAAAAACATGGTGTTGACAAGTTGATGCATTTATTTTTGCACATTATTTTAAATATCAACATTTTTCAAATACTAAATGCTACTTTTTGCCATTTTTAAAGAAAAATAGTTTTTTTTATATTCTGTACCTTTTAGTGGGGAATTATTTCAATTTTGCAATGAATTTTACTATGTTCATGTACATATATATTCATATTATTTCTGTTGTGCATTTACACGTGGCTTTGCAAAAGTCATTCATAAACCCTGATTCACATGAGAATCTATCTTTTAGATCCTGACATTGATTATGAGAGTTCATATATTCACATGCCTTGGCTGAAAGAGAACCAAACCAGAATAAAATTAGCTATATATGAAACAGAGAGAAAGAGTAAACTTTTAATGATGAAAAAAAAATGTTTCTCCCCCACTCTCGTTTTTGCTGTGTGTAATTCAGTCCTGTAGGCTGATCTACGCTTAACAAGGCAAAATATTTGGTGGCTTCATCTTCAAAGGCCCTCCTATTATAAATGATCTTATTGTCATTGCCATCACGGTCATCACCATCATCTTTGTATCCTTAAAATGTCATGATTAATACATCCTTAGATTCCCTCCCCCTTATAAGAATCTTCATTGATACCTTCAGAAACTGGAACAAATGCAGGACAGTGTGGCTCCTTTCATACTACAAGATATCATTCGATCATATTGCTCCACTTTGGGCTGCCTGAATTATCTTTCTATCCAGTTCAAGGATCAATTTAAGGTACTGATTATTATTTCCTAGAGAAGCCTACATGACCTTTAAGCAGTGTTCTTGTTCCTCTTCCAAGAGGTCTCACTTAGGTTTCTGCTCCCATGGGAGGTTCATTTCAAACCAGGCCTTCTTTGTACTAGCAATTAAATGATGGGATTTCAAAGATTTTCACATGATTAAGTCTGTTTATGCCTTCAGTTGACTACTGTTATTGTTATGTGCCATCAGGTCACACCTTGACTTACAGCAGTCTTAACAGGGTTTTCAAGGTATGTGAGATATTTAAAAAGAGTGGTTTAATCAGTCCTAAATCCCCTGCCCCCAGTGACTTTCTCTGGCTCAATGGGGATTCAAACTCTATTCACCTGAGTCCTAGTCTGTCACTTTTATTACTACACCAGGTTGGCTTCAGTTGACTGTTAGTTTATAAGAAGTAACAGGTGCCTGCCTTCTTTGATCTGGTGCCCTTCAGGTGTTTTGGAATAGAGCCTCCATTAGTCTCCAGCCAGTATGAGTATGCAGACTGAAGATAATGGGACTTGTAGTTCAATGCAACTGTGAGGCAGGTAAAAGCTCTGTAAGTATTTCTGGAATAATTTACCATGTCTTACATTGCTAATTAATAAAAGGAGCAATATTATCCAGGTGAGTTGCTTTAGATTATCAGTAACTTACTGCAGAGTTTATTGTCGCAGTCTGAAGGGCAGTCTGCACATGGTAAGCCTTCTTTGTAGGGTGTTGCTATTTTATCTTGCGCATTACCACTGAAACCACAGAGCAAAGCAATATTTAACAATCAAAGTAATTTTCTTCAAAAAGATAAATTTTAATACCTTACATAGCTTGATAAAATACAATTCATGCCTAATTATTGTCTTCAATAACTGTAGGAAAAAACTTCCCAAAGGGGAATTGTGATTACTACACTGGCAAATATTGGAAATGTTCCAGGATTGGGATGGTCAAATTCACATGATTTTCCATTAACTACACAACATGCAAGTCAATATGATTCAGCCAAGTGTTTTTCCCCCACTCATTCTTTTTGTTTTTCCCCTTCCTTTCCCCTTCCTTTCCCTTTCCTTTGCTGATGGGGCTGCTACTTTTTTTGAAGTGAATGCATTCACACTAGTTTGGGAATTATGACAGCTTGACCCAATAAGGAAGATTTTGTAGCCATTCGGTTTCAAACCATTCCACTCAGCTTCAGCAGCAGTGAAAAGGGTGGGGCAGCAGGAAATGTGGCTGTCATTTGAATCCTCTCCTCCCTAAACTTGATGCCTAAGTCTGCTTATTTTTCCTTCCCATTCTGTTTGTTTTTTTCCTTATTCTCTTAAAGGCTTGGTGCTATTACGCTAGAGCACCTAGGTGGCCAAAGGGGGGGGGGTGAGGAGTAAGCAAAGAGAGAGAGAGGAGGAAATTATTGATCAGCCTTGTTTCTAGCTTCTTAAGGTAGCTCTGCTGTAACCATGCTTCCTGCAAATCTTTCAATGCAGAGTTACCTTAACAAGCTGCAGACAAGTCAGATTGCCAATTTTCTCCCCTCTCTCTGCTAACTCCTGTATGGTCAGTTAAAGTGAATTCATCTAGGGAAGTGATTTCACAATGAGTCCATTCACATTTTTCCCTCTGTACAGTCACTTCCTTATACTGTTGCTGAAAAAACTATGAAGAGTTTCATACCACTTTTCAGACTAACAAAATTAGAAAACTGTTTTACCCTGCTGCTATTATAGCATTATTGCTATTATTATAGCAAAAGCTTCTGTGTACCAAGTTATAAAGTATTTTTACACATAGGTATAGAGAACAACGATTTTGAGCAGTGAGGACAGAGGGCAATAAAATGCAGAAAATACATGCAATGTGATAATTATATTACACCTTAAATGTACAAAAATTAATTACTGACACCCTTCACAGAGGTGTGCTAATGATAACTTTCCAGGCATATTTAAGCCCATTATTAGATTCATCTTGAGTTTTCCTTTTAATGACCAGTCAAAAAGAACACCTGAATACAAAATATATAGATGAGGAATATCATATGACAGACAACCTTTAGCACTTAAGGAAGCACCTCTTCTAAATTCTTGTCAATTGCTCACCCAAGTAGTGAAAGAATTGGGTTTGTAAAAGCATATGATTTTCCTTACCTATGTGAAATGAATTTTTCATGTTGTATGGTTTGGAAAATCCTTCTAATGTTCTGCTTTGTACTAAAGAATCTTAAAATTAATGTCCACAAGAGTTCAGCCTTTTTATGGCTTTCTATGCAAAAATGAACTTCTTTGGCTCTTCCTACCGTTAACCTCCCATGGCAGCTCCACCTTTTGTTATATGCCCTGCCCTCTGCTCTACCAGCTGTCCTGGGCACCATTCCCCAATGGCAGAGGGAACATTTTGGGAGAAGGTAGGTCTATACAAATAGCCAGTCAAAGCGGGCAAAGAGCTGCGGAGTAAGATGTATGTGCCAGAGGCATTTAGAAAAGGGTACCATCTGTTAATGCATACATCTAATGCCTCTGAAGCAAGATAGAGGAGTTAAAGAACTTCATTTTAAAAGAAAACATAATGGAAATCTAGTAGAATGGGATCAAACACCAGAATGTGATTTTCACTGAATATAAATATAAACTTTGTAGGAATGACAGGAGAGGGTGTACAGTAGATAGTGTCACTCTGTATGTCAAAGAGAGAAAAACATCAAATGGCAGATTCACAAAAGTAATTTGGTGGCAAGGATATAGTATCTTTTTCTCTGCTCCTGATAAATATGCACAGATGAAATAGAGAAGGAAAAAAGAAGGAAAACATCCAAAGAAGAAAATGTTGTGGTGAAAAAAGGATGATTTCAATTACTTTCACTTAGATTGAGTAAATAAATATTCTTGTCATAAGAAAGAAATAAAATTCCTAGAAGGCCCAGATGGCTGTCATAGAACTGATGAAAGAGGAGGTGCCACTGAACATAATTCAAAAAGCTCTCCCAAATCATTTTAATAAAAATAATTTAAAAATATAGTATGAGGGAATACAATCGTCTATAAAATTGCCATTGATTTTATTAAATGAAATCTGTTTTATCTTGCATAAATTTGCATTTTTCAAGGACTTATTCTTCTTAGTTCCACATCATTTTGCATTTTTTACAAGTCTATATTAAAATTCTCTGGTATAATTACATGGAATTTTCCTAATCTATGCATTTCTGCAGATCATCTTCTTTACTATATGCATCTTTGTGTACTATTTCCCATATATATGTATCTATGTATGCTATGCACAGATGAAATAGAGAAGGAAAAAAAAGAAGGAAAACATCCAAAGAAGACGGTATTTTCCAGTGAAAACATACATATATACGTATGTTTTCACTGGAAAATACCATCCCAGAAGATGGGGAAATGTGAAAGCCAAAAGATAATGGCATTCTGAAAAATGTAAATTTGGTCAAGTTGTATTAACACTGAAACCAAAGGAAATTCTTCCTCTGGTGTAGAGAAAAAGGACAGAAAGAGAGTTTTTTCTACCATTCTCAATTAGAAGCCAGGGTCATCCAGACAGAAAGAGAGTTTTTTCTACCATTCTCATATTAGAAGCCAGGGTCATCCAATGAAAGTAAACAGTGGGAGATTCAAGATGGACAACAGGATTGCCTTCATCACGTAACACATAGTTCCACTTTAAAATTCTTTGCCACAAAATGTGGCAATGGGCAACAATTTACAAGGCTTAACAAGTGGGCTTTGATAGGTCCTTATTCTGGTCCTGCATAGCTTCTCCTATGCAAAGTGTTCTGCTTATATACCACCCCAGAGCACTTAAAGCACTCTCTGGGCAGTTTACAAGCTAATTATGTAAGCTACACATTGTCTCCCCCCCCCCCCAAGTACAAGCTGGGTACTCATTTTACCAACCTCAGAAGAATGGAAGGCTGAGTCAGCCTTGAGCCAGCTACCTGGGATTGAACCCTAGGTTGTGAGCAGTTTGGGCTTCAGTACAGCAATTTAACCACAGCGGCACGTAGTTCCTATGTTCTTACATATGCTGTTACATTAACTTGTGTGGTAGGATAAAAATTTGTTGCTACAATTCAAGAAGTGGGGGATGATGTTGAACTTCTCAGTTAATCTCATTACTATGAGCATGTCCTTATTCCTTTATGTTCCCCTTGTATTGAGTGGATGAGTTAGGCAATGAGGTAAATAATTGAACATTACAAAGTGTGCCACACCATAGCACTTAAAGCACTCTCTGGGTGGTTTACAAGTTAATTATGCAGGCTACACATTGCCCCCCCAGTATAAGCTGGGTACTCATTTTACTGACCTCAGAAGGATGGAAGGCCGAGTCAACCTTGAGGTGGCTACCTGGGATTGAACCCCAGGTTGTGAGCAGTTTGTGCTTCAGTACAGCAATTTAACCACAGCGGCACGTAGTTCCTATGTTCTTACATATGCTGTTACATTAACTTGTGTGGTAGGATAAAAATTTGTTGCTACAATTCAAGAAGTGGGGGATGATGTTGAACTTCTCAGTTAATCTCATTACTATGAACATGTCCTTATTGTATTGAGTGGATGAGTTAGGCATTGAGGTAAATGATTAAGAAATAGATATAACTGATAGTGGCTGGAGAGCCAAGTGACACCCATCCCATAACAAGAGCTGCTCTATTCATCTGCAAAAGTAGCAGATTCATAAATGCACTTCTTTGCACATACAGGTATGCTTCCCCTGAATGGGCTAAGTTAGAGGAGATTTCTAGTTATATCAAATAATACATAGGGCTCTTGAATAGGTTGGAATAAGACTGTTCAAAACTGATACTCACCTGGGGCAGTAATGGCACAGGAACAAGTAAGGGAAAGTATTCTTTGGGCAATAAGCAACAGCACATCCAACCTTATGTGAATTATACCAAATGAGCTATAACCATAATAATAAGAATTAAAAAAAAGAATTATATGAGGGATTCATCAGAACATAGACCAGAAGCTGTTGTCAGCAATATATCTTTCACTTATCTAGTTCTAGATTATATAGTTTTGAAACCAGAATGAACCACACCTAGTTCAGTCAACAGGTATGAGGTAAGATTATTTATTAATCACAGAATGTTGTTTGTACCACACTTTCACACATTTCATATATTGCACTGTGGAGCGGTGCTATAACTGTATAATCCATGTGTGCTACATTGAAAAACACTGTAAGTGCACAACAAACATAATGAATGTAGTTAACCTCAGGTTAAAAAGAACAGGAGCAACTGATTGAGCCATACTCTAAACACTCTGAAGAAGAAGAAAAAAAAGGTGGTTTTGCTTATACTAATTTCTGATTACAGCTGCTTTCCGCAGTTTCATCTAGATTAACAGGGTTTTGAAATCCACGACTGCCTGCAAGTGGTTTCTGATCCAATCAATTTTAGTCTTAATTGACAGCTTCAGAAAGAAGGAGGCTATTGCTATGGGGCTATGTGGTTGACCACTGTGGGGGCTGGGTGTTGGATCAGCTACACCATTTGCCTGACATAGGAAGGCTTTTCTTACTATATGTTCTTACTGTTCCTTCAGATGTGGATGTATCTCAGTGAATGCAAATGGCATTTAGACACTGTAAGCCAGTCCCATATCGTTCAACATTTTACCTATGAAAACGGGGATATCTCAGCAGGTGTGTCCAGAGTGTCTGCCAGGACAAAGTTCAGTTTCTAGGTGAGACCAACGATTTAGATTACAAGAAAGAGGCACCCCATAGGTGCCTTGCAGAACATGGCTATGCTATCTTAGTGCTACACTGCATTAGAACTAGCTGGATAACTGCTGTCGAAAAACCCACCATGCCCTCTCAGAGAAGTTTTTAAAGAAATTGTGTTGTGCATAATGGCATGCAGAAGTTGATGGGGATCAGAACTAAGTCCTGCTATTTTTCAGAAATACTTGTTCACAGCAAAGCAACATTTAAGAGTTGTTGTGGGTTTTTCAGGCTCTTTGGCCGTGTTCTGAAGGTTGTTCTTCCTAATGTTTCGCCAGTCTCTGAAGATGCCGGCCACAGAGACTGGTGAAACATTAGGAAGAACAACCTTCAGAACACGGCCAAAGAGCCCGAAAAACCCACAACAACCATTAGATCCCAGCCGTGAAAGCCTTCGCGAAAACAACACTTAAGAGCTCAGTCCCTGTATATTTGCACAGGTACTGTTGACGTAATTTTAAGCAGTTTATCATTTTTATCTCCAAAATTCCACTTTAGAAACATGCCAGATGAATTGGGTGTTTCTGCTCTTACCTGAGTGTAGGTATAGATGCTTTTCCTTGGATCCACTGGCCCAATGCCATACTTGAAATTAGTCTTTGATTTGGACCATAACTTAATTATATCTGTCCAGGAATTGGCAGTCACTGTTTGTGACAGAGTTTCTCCACAAGCAAAACCTGCAATAAGATCATCACTGAAGAAATATGGTTGCATACTCCCAATTACTTAGGATGGTCTCCAAAAGATAAGGCACTAAATTGACCCAAGAAAATTGCTTCTGCCCAGCAGATGTCTCAACACAAATAGGGTTGGCAAGGTATTAGAGAGCAGAGTTCATGGTGCCTTGGCTCTAAGTGAGTCAATGGCCTTCGGGACAAAAAAATGCAGCAGTCATTCTCATCAACAGGAAGTGGGAAGGGAGCACAATCTTGTTTTTTATATTAGACATCTTTGACAGCACTGTTAACAATGATTTCTAAGAGTCTAAGGGTTAAAGTAAATTCCTCTTTCTTCCTCTGATGCCACTGTCACTCTAGGTACTCAAGTCTTTCACAGCTCTATACTTGAGACATCAGAATTGCTGAGGAAGCTGCGCTAGAACCCCTCCGGCCATTACAAAACCTACACAGACTAATTTGCCACAGACAGATAGAGGAAAATCTGTATTAGACTAAACAATTCTTTCCTCTTTAGGGGGTACTGTTTTCTGGAGGCATAATAAGCCTTCCTTTTTAAAAGGAAAAATAAATACCAGTCTTGATCATGCTAGTGTTGCCTGAGCTGTGCTGTGGTCAATGTTTGCATTTGGATGCAAGGATCTCCCCAAATGAAATGATGTACAGTACCTCAAAGATCCTCTGTTTAGACCCATTCAGACCAGTATAATTCAGCTGTCTAGTTGTACCTTTACTTCCGTACTTTATAATGTATAAAAGATTTCTTCAGGTAACTTACCACCAACCATTCTCTCCTCTATGGGACTGTTTCTAAACTGACATTTACTGGCCCATCTGCTAGCAGTCTCAGTGGCTTCATCACTCCATGTCTTAGCAAAAAAGAAAGAAAATGTTCACTTTTGTTCTAGCATCCTCATTATCTGATGTGTACGTTTTGCCCCTTTTTTTCCATGAAAAACAATATGAAAACATCAGAAACGGTTCATAGTTATAATTTTACAAGATGATTCACTTGGACTTTAAGAGAACAAAATGTCAATATTCATAATATTAATAAGTAAACACCAAAATTTTAACAATCCATGAATAATTTACATTAAGGCCTAAAAGAATATTTCCTCATGTTCTCATGGAAAGGTGAGCCAATGAGCTAAAGCTTCAGTGGTGGTCATCATTTATTCTTGCCTTTAGAACTTTCTGGCAATACCTAATGGTGACTCTGAGCTAGAAGGGGCAGTACTGTACCAGCAAAGGCACTAGTGACTCACAGATTCAGCAGGAGCTATACAAGGAAAAGGAAGGGAAGGAAAGGGAAAGAGAGAGAAGGGAGAATCTAAAATCCTCTGGCTTCTTCTACTGTTCAGTTGAATACTTCTCCTTCTCCTCTGCAGAGGGAAAGGGGAAGTAAAATTATTCATTTTGCCCATGCTTGACCATCACTGATGAACTGAATCACTTAGATTACACTTTTAAAAATTCTTACCTTGTGTGTAGTGCCGGTCGAGAAACTATCTGCAGCCATTGTTTCAATCAGCAAATCACAGAAAAGCAAAGATTTTTTTAAAAAAAAATTAAGTTATTCAGCATAGCAGGGATGGTCTACCAGCCTCAAAAAAAAATACTAATTTCACTTCCCTGCCTCTCCACAAAGGAGCAGGGAAGTGTTCAGTTTGCCAGTATATTGACGTAGTTTGCTTATTAAGCTACTTCACAATACTGGAAATTGAAAGTGGAAGGAGAGTTGTCATCTGCAAGCCTTGATTTTAATTTATTCCCAGCAATCATATGTGTACCAGGCCACACTGAAAAAGCTGAAGTCCCTGATAGAGGCTCAGAAAGTTGTGGGATGCTCTCAGGGCAATTTGATGCCTCTGGCAATTATGTTGTGTGGTCACTGGGTAAAAAAAGGGAACCAATCTGCTCCCACAGTGCAACAAACAACAAGAGAAATGCCCATCTAAATGAGCCCTAAGAAAGCATCAGAGTGGTCTTGGGCTGGGAAAAGAGCGTTAGAGTAAGGAGTGGTCCAGTTGATTGCCCAGTTGTGCCCCTACCTGGAAAGGAATTATCAACAGTGATTCATGCTTTTCTTAATCTCCACAATAGACTATTGTAATGTTCTCTATGCAGGGCTGCCTTTGAAGCAAGTACAGAAACTACAACAGGTCCAAAATGCAGTAGCCAGACTGATCACAGGTACCACCAGATTTGAGCATATATCTCCAGTCCTCACTTGTCTCCATTGATTTCTTGTTCATTTACATGCTCAATTCAAGGTGACGGTTATTACCTATAAAGCCCTAAATCAGAGGTTCTTAACCTTTTTAGTGGTCATCACCCCACTGAATCTCAAAATGCACTCGCACACCCCCTTGAAAAATGTGTTCCAGTTTATTTGTTAGAAAATTATGTTTACTGAAAAACAATTTATTTACTGAAAAACAGATGCACATATATGTATTGACATAAAATTAAAATAATTCATTTTTTGTGGCAAGTTTGATGTTTTTTATTCATAATAATATTTTGAAAGTGGAGTTCGTTTTTCGAAAGAGCTATACATATGTCATATTTGTATTTAAGCAATTTCTGGTTTTGGTTTTTGTATGCAAAAGTGATGAAAACCGCATTTCACACAGATAGGTGGTAGGAAATGATAGAAGTGTCCACAGTGATGCTTTCACTAGTTATGGAAATGGTTCTGAGCACACCAAAATTGTTCTAAGTCCAGTTTTTCAAATTCCATTTAAATTTGTGCATTGGCCCAAATTTCAGTAAGATGGTCTTTTATTAAATTACAATTGTATATAGAATTAAAGTCAAAAAGAAATGGATCCAGTATCAACCACTGCTCTTTGCCAATATTCATGAAAAGATGTACACATTTGTTGCAAATATATTACAAGCTCAGGTAAAATTGTGATTTTCTCATTTCCAGAACGATTTTATCAAGTAAGGGAAAGTTTGCAAAATTACCATTTTCAACTCAACGTATCAAAATTTTTAGTTTTCAATAAAAGCAGATAATTTTTCAGTAGCTGTTATTATGTTCTTATCATATCCTTGCATTGATATATCTAATTATATATTCAGGCGAGTGAATATATCTGCTTAGTAGGCCAAAGTATTGCATCTCTTCTTTCAAAGTCTTTAGCTAAATTACAATTTTGGTTAGTAATAAACTAAATAATTTCCTCACACATTTCAAAAACCCTGCTAAGCATACATCTCTTGGAAAGCCACCATATGGCAGTGTGGTAAAGAAGCACGGTATGGTCAGTCTAATGAGATTGAAAACATCAGTTCCTTTTGCTGTCAACTCCAGTTGCTCACAAAACAAACATTCTTCCAAAATTTTCTTTTCCTTTATGTATCACACAAATACTAGATGACTGCAGTGAGCAACATCAGCTGACTCATCCAATTGAATACTCGTTTTCAGAGGACTGACTTTAATATCTTGTATTATTTGCAGAAAAATATCCTGACTGACATCTTGAATGTGTGATTTAAGCACAGAAT